AGTTACATTGAAAGTATGGTTTCAGCTTTCTTGAACCACTTATTAGTGTAAGTGCCAATTTCTCTAAGTGTGGATATCTAGTTTCTGCTTCCCCTAAGGTTCGACTTACATAGTAAATGGAAAATTGCGTACCTTGGTCTTCTTGAACTAGGACACCACTTACCACGATTTCCGACACCGCCAAATATAAGTAGAGCTTCTCATCGGCCTTCGAAGTGTGAAGCAATGGTGGGCTCGATAGGTATCATTTTAATTCCTCTAGTGCTTGTTGACACTCCGGGTCCAGGTGAAATCACTCTTCTTCTTGAGTAGAGAGAAAAATCTGTGGCTTCGATCCGATGACCTCGAGATAAATCGGCCTAGAGTAGCTATCCGTCTGGTTAGCCTATGTATGGCTTTTATGCTGTCCACGACGGTGATATCTTCGATGGCCTTGATTTTATCGGGGTTTCCCCAATTTGACACCATGAAGTCTAGGAACTTACCCGAGCCGACCCCGAAAGCACATTTATCGGGGTTAAGTTTCATGTTATATTTCCTCAAAATCTCGAATGTTTCCTGCAAATGAGCCAAATGGTCCTCTGCGCGTAGGGACTTAACTAGTATGTCATTAGTATAAACTTCCATTGACTTACCTATTTGTTCTTCGAATATCTTATTTACTAGGCGTTGGTAAGTAGCTCCTGCATTTTTTAGCCCGAAGGGCATTACATTGTAACAGTATGTTCCATACTTGGTGATAAACGAGGTCTTCTCCTGGTCTTTCGGGTTTATCTGAATTTGATTGTACCAGGAATAGGCATCGAGAAAGGCAAGGATCTCGTGGCCAGCCATGGCATCGATCGTGCGATCGACGTTAGGCAGTGGAAAAGAGTCTTTAGGGCATGCCTTGTTTAAATCCTTGTAATATACACAGATTCTAAATTTGTTCCCTTTTTTAGGGACTACGACTACATTGGCTAACCATTTAGGGTATTTTACCTCCCGAATGGACCCTATTATAAGAAGTTTAGTTACCTCATCCTTTATGAATACATGTTTCACCTCGGACTGGGCCTTCTCTTTTGCTTCACCGGTTTGAACCCGGGGTCGAGGCTTAGCCGGTGTGTTGTTATCTCCGGTGGGATCCCTATCATGTCTAAATGGGACCAAGCAAAACAATCCATGTTATCGATAAGAAATTGAATGAGTTTTTTGCTGAGTTCGGGGGTTAACCCCATTCTCAGGTATACCTTTCGTTCGGGTAGATACTCGATCAGTATCACCTGTTCTAGCTCCTCGATCGTTGACTTGGTTGCATCTGATTCTTCGGGAATAACAAAAGTTCAAGGAGTAAGGAAATCCTCCTCTTCTTCTTCGATTACCTGTTTCTCCGATTCGGTCGAGGCTGGGGACGATGATTGCTATTTACCCATCTGCTTATCTTTGGTGCTCGATTTTTCTAAGGTCGAAGGTGCTGATATCGGTGCCACCTCGTCGACTGCAAACATTTCCTTTGCAGCGTGTTGTTCCTCGTAAACTATTTTCACACCATCCATTGTCGGGAATTTCATCATTTAATGAAGGATCGACGGCATTGCCCTCATGTTATGGATCCATGGCCTTCCGAGCAGTGCATTATATCTCATGTCACCTTCGATGACATGGGATTTTGTATCTTGGATGGTCCCGGCCATGTTTACTGGTAGGATTATCTCCACCTTTGTTGTTTCACTTGCCATGTTAAAGCCGTTTAGGACTCGAGATGCAGGCACAATTTGGTCCTGCAGGCCGAGCTACTCTACGACCCTCAATCTGATTATGTTTGCTGAGCAACCTGGATCTACTAGAACACGTTTAACTTGAAATTTATTTAACAAAATAAAAATTACTAGGACGTCGTTGTGCGGCTGAGAAATGCCTTTCGCTTCTTCGTCATTGAACGATAAGATGCCTTCGGGAACATAATCCCGAGTCCGCTTTTCTCTGATGATCAACACCTTGGTACATTTGAATATAGGCCCTTGCGGGCGTCGACCCCGCCGACGATCATGTGAATAACATGCTGAAACTTTTCCTGCTCGTTCTTTCTATTGGCGTCTATTTCTCTGATGTGATTCTTAGCTCGATCACTAAGGAACTATCAAAGGTGGCCCTCGTTGAACAATCGAGCTACCTCCTCCCTTAGATGTCTGCAGTCTTCGGTCCTATGGCCATGTGCCATGATATTTACACATCAAGTTTGGGTTCCTCTGAGAAAAATCTGTCTGTATAGGTCTGGGCCATGTTGTGTCTTTGATCCTTCCATAGTACCCAAATTCTACCCCCTGGATGGTAGTTAAGATTTGTGCTGAATGACCAGCCATTACAAATGTTAAGAGTAGCTGATGATGCTTTATACCTCTTAACCTTTGTCTCCAAAAACCCAAATAGGCCAACTTTAGAGTTGTGCAGAAATAAATTCATCTCTTTCTACTTGTCTTGCCTATTTAGGCCCCTGGCAAGCCTGTTCTGTCCATTAGGTGGATGGGCTCCCCCACCCCTCACATTACTTGGCCCTGTTCCACTTTTCAGTTGTGCTTCTCTATTGTTAGTAGCCTCCACTATTGTACTCCTTGTGTGCTGCGTTACTTGCCCTCTATTGTACTGCTAGTGTTTCTTCTTTCCTCCTCTGGTATGTCATTATGATTTCTCTTATTCACCATCTCTTCATTAGCTTCTGGTTTCTCAGGTTGCTCCTCCAAAGTAGCAAATGAGTTCCTCAATGTGGTGATAGCAGCTTGTTGGGCTACTCCTTGCTTGGTCTTCCTCATCTCATCTTGCACTTCCTTCGTGCCTTCTCCTTTTTTCATTTCCATTTGAACTTTGCCATTTATAGGTTTCCATGCTTGTGTTGTCTGGTTCGTTTGTGCATTTGTTTGTAGTTTCCTACAGTGCGCCTTGATGTGTCCATAGTTTCTGCGATGATCACACATTGTTGGCTTCCATTCATACTCTGCTGTCTGTTCTATTATTTGCCCAAGTTCATTCTCAAACATTATTGTCTCTGGATATGTTTTATTCATTGGAACTTCCACCATCACCCTAGCATACATTAATTTCTCCTTCCTTGTAGTTGGAGTATCAGCTTTTATAGGCTTACCTACTAATCCTGTAATTTTGGTCAAAGCAGCTTGACCCCAGTACTTGAGATCCAGTCCCACAAGCCGGATCCAAATTGGAACCTGCTCCACCATTATTTTACTCATTTCCATCCCTGGCTTCCATGGCTTCACCACCACTGGTTTTCTATCAAAATTTTGGGTTCCCCCTTCAATTGCTTTTGTTCTTCCTTCTATAATGTGAAATCTTACCATAAACACCCCTTTGTTCGTTTCAGCCACCTTATCTAGCCCTAAGTAACCCCATATTCTATTGAAATACCCCTCTATTACAGTTAGAGGGGGATTTGATCCGAAAACATAGCACACTACTGCAGACTGCCAATACTCAATTTCCTCCTGCACATCTGCCAAAGTGATTTTGACATTTGCAGAAGTTTCCCCTTCCCTTTCTAAATCAAAGCCCTCGTTGATAGTCACTTTTCCCACTACACTACTCCATGATTTAGGATTTAGGTTTTGAGCAATACCTAATTCACTTTGGGATTTTCCTTCATTTTCAACCTGATCAGCCCAGGAATTCGTCCCTGAGCTCTGTGCATATTTTTGGTTGCTTGTCGCCATTGTGTTTGTCAATTGCTTGTTTGCCATCGAAGTCACCATGATTGACGATCCAGCCATGGGTGTTTGCTTCAGTTCCAGTGGTATTATGCCTTGTATCACATTCAGACTTCTAGTTTTCTTTGCATCTTCCGATTGGGGAACATTTCTCCTAGTCATATTCTCCTGTTGGTTTACACTTTCGTCGTGCCCTTGCCCTCCAGTCCGTGGCTTCTTCGCCATTCAGTCTTAGCTGAGAGAAGCTCTCATTCTAGAGAGAGAGAAAGCCTTTTTTATCCTTATATTGTATTGCCCCTAAAATGTTGTGTCCACCACTTCTAATGCGACACTAGTCCTTCATATATACTAACCATTTTGAAAAAAGTTGACAAGTACTACAAAGTTTCTCCATCCACTAACTGAAACAAAAAAACTTTATTTCAGATTTTTTATGAATAATTGTGCGGTAAGGGCAGCTACGTGTTCTTTTAGGGACTATTCCCTTTTTCGAGTCAGTATATTATAAAGAAATAAATATTTGGGTGCTGCACAAGATTTTGTATTTATCTTGATTTGAGAATATTTTTCATTAATGGAAATCGTTTTCTGGGGACGGGGTTCTTTTTGATGATCCTATCGTGGTTTTCAAGTTGCAACTCTTATGTTAACTTACATATAACAATATTAAGCTCTTGCAGCTTATTAAAAAGTCAGAATTTAAAATTTATGGATTCGAAATTTTCTTATTTAAATTACTCTAAATATTAAATAAATAATTTGTACATGTATATTCAACGAATTTCTAAAGACGAATACGATATCTATATCAAAACTATTGGACTGGGCCGGACCCTTAACCTAAGCTCTAGCGGTCAGCCCATGATTAGAAACATTTGGAAGATCAAACTTCTCTCATTGGCAAAGCTCCTAACTAATAAGCTTGCAGAATAGTTGATGTTTTTTATGCTATAAAATTAGATTTAAGTAATGTTATTCTTTGTTTAGAAATATAATCGTGATAGTAGATATATTAGTTATCATTTTTACCAAGTAATTAAGTAGTAGAGAAATATTTATCATCGTAATTCACCCGTAATTACCTTATAAGTAAATTAATTGTTTAAATTTTTTTATAATGTGAGTACATAAGACTTGCACTCTTTAAAATTTTCACAGTTTTGTAGGCTTCGTGATTTTTCCCTCTTTATCAAGCTAGATCATTTTATTTGAAGAAAAGAACTTAATAATAAAGAAAGCTACATAACTTTTAAGTAGTTGTAACTCACATAATGAAGATCTAGTTACACAGAAATAGGCATATGACTCTCATTAATTATATAACTAAGCATCAGATGATACAATATCTCAGTTACAAACACTGCCGATCATAATACAGACTACCTTCTTATTTAGGGACTGACACCAATATTTCTATTTACAAAGTTAGATCTAAACTTTTCTCATAAATCCTACACCAACTTTAAAATAAATTACGTTCTAATAAAGAGTCTAAGTTTTATGTACTGACAGTGTATACGTTCTTTTTACACTATCGGTCAACTTAACCTACAATAAGATGATGGTAACTCTTTCATATCAAACCTGATATATAACATGTTATAACTGGTTAAATTGAACTGATACCGTAAAAATTCTTTCCACTGTCAGCATATTTAACTTAAATTCTCAAATGAATAACCCCTTGTTAGCCAGTAAAAAATGTGTTATCCTGGTTGTCCAAGCAATAAAACTGAGGAAACATCTTAGTTTCTTCTTCATCAGTCATCCATAGAGTACTATCTGTGCAATATTCCCACATAGTTGATGGCAAAATTGGTTTATTTTTTGTCTCATTTTCTTCTGATAATAATTCAATATCATTCCAAATTTCATCCATAGAGTACACCTTCACGCTTTTCCCTTTCTCTTGATCACCAACTTCCTTTTTCCCTGCATTTTGCAAACTACTTTGTTCATGCACGCCCAACAATCCACCAGTATCGTAGAAGTTTCTTTCGTTGTTTTCGGTAATGGGCATAAAGTCCACATCAGGACTGTTGGAAGAGAAATAAGATGAACAGTTGGAGAAAGATGAAGATGGAGAAATAGAAGCCTTGTTTTTCCTGTCATCTTGAGCCTTCTTCCTCATGTGAGTTCTCCAGTAATTCTTGATTTCATTGTCAGTTCTCCCTGGTAATTTCCTTGCAATTCTTGACCATCTGACACACGACCAAGAAATTAAAATTATATGGTAACTCAAACAATAATACATAATAAGATTTAATAACGAACGGAACCAAATATTCTAATATGGAATTGAAAAAAATTCAAGAATAAAATTTTTGAGTCACCTTTGCCATTATATTAGAAGCTTCCCTTACGTTAAAGAGGTTTAAAAAAAATTTATTTATATAAAAGAATTTTTTGTTACACTACTATTTGTGCCCTGATAGCGGATTTTGATAGTTCGAATAGATTCAAATTTATATGTTCGAAAAATAATTGTAGTCTGAATCAAAACATATATTTTTAAAACTCACTCATCATTTAACTCAGAATCAACAACATTTAAGTTCTGAATTTGCCGTTGTATTAAAATTCATCATATTAGGGAGCGTACACTCTACCCACTAGTAGGATTTTTACTAGGCTGTTGTTGTCGTTTGTTGTTAATATTAGGGAAGAAGTTGAAAAGTACTCAAACCTATTTCCCCATTTGGAGTGGAGTTCAAGAATAAGGCGTTCTTCTTGAGGAGTCATCTTGCCACGTTTAAGACCAGGATGCAAGTAATTTAACCAACGTAACCTGCAACTCTTTCCTGTTCTTTTCAAACCTAATAAATATTAAGGGTTAGAAATTGCTCCAAGAAAAAAGGATTTCATGTCCTAAATAAGATTACCTATTATATGAGTCTCCCTCCAACCTTTAAAAACCTGAAACTTTGGCCAAGAAATCCCATCGTCGATCTCCAAATAAGTTCACATAAAATGCTAGCTGAAGATCTTCTTGTTCACTCCATGGACCTTTTCTTGCTTCCTCTTGCGCCATTTTTAGCTCTTTTTTCTGCTTGCTTCTCCCTCTTTTGAAGGACTATGGACTCTCTAGCTTTACCTTTTTCTGAGTCACCTAATTAGTTGGTGCATAGGATTGTGCTAATGAGTGATATTTATACTTGAAATAATTGGCTTGACATGTGTGACACCAAGGGATGTGAGGATGGGGTTTTATGTTTCTCTTTTTCTTTTTCGGAATCCGAACTCTAAAGACTCGACTAATCCAGATTTGTACCAAGCAAGCACACTAGCTAATGGAATAAAACACTCTACATAAAGGTTCTCCGTTCAAGGCTCGTGCACGTAACGGAGGCTGATCTAATATTTAAACTTGATTGAGTCAACATTTAAGGTTCTTATTACCAATAAATTTATTTGTGCTTTTGAAAATTAGGGATTAGAGTTAAATATAATTTGTCGAAATCTAGAGCTTTTTCACACTTATATTTATGTTTGATATCAAAAGTATATGAATAGTATGCTCCATCTATATCTGATTAATATCGTAGTAATTAATCTCAATCATCCCATCACATTCTGGTATTTATAAAATAAAAATAAAAAATAATTAGACTCCATTAAAGAATAGAAGTGTAATATTCACTTTATAAGTGGTGTGCGCGTGCTCATTATGGTGGAAGAAACCAATGTTGCATATGATGTAAGCCATTAAGAGGAAAGAGCGTAAGTGATGATAAATTTAGATAAGAGATTGATATGTTGATGCAACTCTCATAACCAGCCGTCCATTTCACTGTAAATTGCATTCCTTGTTGGAATTTGTCTTTATAGTGACTTACCATCTCTAGGAAAATTTAAATAATTAAATAGACGTGTGGAATGCACAAGTTATGCCTACTCGAATAATTTTTTTAATATGCGAATCCATTAGTAAAGGTACAAGTGGCAAATAGTGGGTTGCATCAAATTTGGGCGGGATAAACAAGTCAAATCAATAAATTAGACAGTTGTGATTCAATATTTTCAAAATGAATCGAGCCAAAATTGATCAAATAATGAGTTGTTATCTAACCCGCTCAGGTAAGGGTATTTAAATCGAACCGAAAAATCGCACTAAATCGAAAAGTCAAACCAACCCGATTAAAGAACCCGATTAGGTTTGGTTTGATTTGATTTGGTATTGAGTAAAAAACCCCGAACCAAACCAGCATATAAATATATATTTTTTATATATGTTTTTAAGACTTTATATAGAATTTTTTTTAAAAAATATACTAGAAATATTTGGGATCTTTTCATGAAATGGAATATTTAATATAACTATGAAGTGCATTCATTTTTATTTACTTTAAATAATGCGTTGTAGCACTTTCTTATGCATCAATCATCTATTTGTTCTTCCATATTCATATATAAAGATTACTTATATTATATCTTTTTCGAATTTGAAATAGTATTTCGATAATTTAAATTTAAATAGAACATATCATTATTTAGGTATCATATTGATTTTTATGTTTAATCATTAAATTCGATTAACCTTGAAAGCGTACATCAGCAAAAAATTATTGTTAGATAACTAAGAAAATAACTATCATGTGTTACTAAAATAATCTCCCATAAGAATATTTTAATATATCATATATTTGTCAATTTTTTTAATTTTTACTAAACATATATTCACTTATCAAAATTTTATCTGTAATATTAACAAAGTAAGATTGAAATAATATTCATGTAGCAAAAATCTGAAAAATCCCCGACAAAACCGAACCAATCTAAACCGAAATAGTTGATTTGGTTTGATTTTGATAAAAATCGAACCAACCCGATCCGTATACACCCCTACGCTCGGGCGGCATGAGCCAACTCCCATTGTTTCATTTCGTGGTTTGGGAAAAAAATATAAAAACTAATACTCCCTTTGTCCATTTTTTGATAATTTTTTTTTAGTTTGTTCCAAAAATAACAATCTTCTATATTTAAAAAAAACGTTAAACTTCTAATCTTTCATTAATGAGATGATTAGAACTTAGATCACATACTTCAAAAATCTTTCATTCTTTCTTACTTAAATTTCGGTCAACACCGTCATATAAATTTGGATGAATGAAATTAATACATAATTTTCTTGAATAATTAACTAAGTATTTTCAAGTTTATATATATATANNNNTATATATATATATATATATATATATATATATATATATATATATATATATATATATATATATATATATATATATATATATATATATATTATAAGTGTGAAGTCCTTAGTGTGATGTTAAAAGACCAAAATATCCAAATAAAAGTGAATGACATTTATGCCCTTCAATAAAGAGCTATGTATTTCTATAACATCTTTGTACAAAGCTGTAATTATACATTAAAATAAAGATTAAAAAAAGTTAAATTAGAAAAAAGAACTTCTATTTGTTACTCTTGAGACTTGAAGAAAAGAATTCGAAGAGTCGTAACGAATTCAATGGAAATTATAGGTTAGATTCATTACAAACTGAAAAGTTTTTCTGTGTGTCACTCTTAATTGCTATTTAATGGTGGATAAAAATATAAATATCTCAAAAGGGGAGTTATGTTGAGGAAAGTGACGATTTAACAGTATCTCTTTGCAGTATGTCTTCTTATTCATTAGGTATGTTATAGTTGCATCCGTTTCATACAGATGAAAACCTTGAGATTATTCGTTCGTTGGCTTATCTATATATTTCATAACCTAGAGATTTTCGTACAGTTGTATATTATGTTTATCTAGATAGTACTCAATATTTATATTATATCATACCATCATGTAATGAATGCCCTACAATTTTTGTTGAGCCATGCAGGTTGTAGTTTATGTCTAATATCTATAATTTAGTTCGTCGATTTTTGGGTTGGTAGGTGTTTCTCATGGCAGATGTGTTGTGCAATTATCACTAGGGGTGTTTATGGTTCAGTTTGGATCGGTTTTTCCCTAAAAAGAAACCAAACCAAGTAAGTCGGTTTTTCAAATATTAGAACCAAACCAAACCAATTAAGTCGGTTTTTTCTTGATTCGATTTTTGTCGGGTTTTGTCGGTTTTTCGGTTTTTTCGGTTATTTATCGGTTTTTTCTTAAATATAAGACATACACTACCAAACACATATTTCGGCGACCGCATTTTCAACGTAACACTATCAAATCAATTGTCCTTTGAGAAATCTATTATTTACCAAGATATATTGATGATAATTGAATCAAATAGTGATGAATAATTTAAGGACTCAACTAAAAATATATTATTTTTAACACGAAATGGATTCTTACACTTAACAAAAGAAAACTACCAATCAAATTAGAATGTAAAGGTAAAAAACTATACTAAAAGTGCAAACTATTAACATTTACCATAATAATTTTGAAACTTTATATAAAAATATACATACATATATATATATATATATATATATATATATATATATATATATATATATATNAAACCAAATTTGATCGGTTTTTAAAATTCAAACACAAAACCAAACCAAACCAAAAAGTATCGGTTTTTTTGGTCGGTTTGGTTTGGTTTTCGGTTTGGTTCGTTTTTCGAGTTTTTATGAACACCCCTAATTATCACTGCTAAAATATTTCATATTTTTCTTATGTGAATTTATAGTGAGAATCATAGTTTTATTTGCTTCTTATTTCAAATAGCTGTTTGATTCTATCCTTTCAAGGAACTATCTTTGTTTCAATTATAGACTTCATAAATTTCAGCAAATGTCCTCCCTCTATGCTAGGAGTACAAACTGATCAAACTGATATTTTTATGTCTAAATTTTGGTGGACTTAGCATAAAAGCTATAGGGGATTGCCAATATGTTTAAAAGCTGTATTAATCAATCCGAACTTTAAAATTAATATGTTATTGTTAGAAGAAGCAGTACTGTGAATACTGATTCAAAAAGAAAGTTTTCGATAAACTAAAACTGATAGGTTTACGGGAGAAATTTTATTTTGTGTTTCACATGCCAAGTCATACTTGTGTGAGACAATTCTTTTTTTGACAAGTGGACTGATATGGATTCACTTTTCAAGTAATTAAAGCTAAATTGAGAAAAACATTTCCTTTCCTTTTTAACCCCCCAACCCACCCACCCCACCCCTCCCGATTTAGCTTCTACCTCTTTCACTTCTTCGGCAACTTGTCATTATTTTGAGATACGATTTAAACTTTTTGGCAGTCATTTCCAGCAGATTTGAATATAATTCGATCTTCTTATTCATTTTCTTTTATAAAAAAAAAACATATGTACGATCAACTAATTATAATTTTGTTTTCTTATGAGATAACAGGTTATGCTTATATTTAGAACTTAAAAAATGAATATTTAAACTTAATTAGAAAACACATATAAGGAATATCACTAAAA